CGCCGCACAAGACAGGTGTATGGGTGTGAGTGCCTGGGCATAGACGGCCAAGTTGTTTCACCAGTGCTGGAGTGCCAGCCAGTCGTGTCCTCTTCCTCACAAACGGCCCTCTCCCTGGGATGCGAAGACCATATTGGCACATGTAAGTGACGGTGGTGTCCATGCCATCAAACCTCCACGATCAGTGGTTCTTTCCAGGCTAAAGACGGCTTTGGGTTCTCACCCAACAGAAGTCCACCTCTCCGCCGTTGTGGGTGACTGGCATCTCTGACAAAGCCGAGGATCTCCCTTTGCTCTTCTCTTCTTTCTTCAAGGCATTGCCTTTGCCAAGGAGACTTGTGCCCAAAGACTTGGAGAGGACTCCATATCGTGCGTGGCCAGGCAATGACCATCAATTCTGGATCCAAAGTGTCTAGGTAGTTGAGAGCCTCGGCGCGGTCTTTCTCCTTCAAGAAATCTCAATGAGGAAGGGATATGGGCTACCAAGCTTCTTCTTTTCTTCTTTCTCTTCCGCTTTTCTTCACGGAAGGTCTTCTCGATCACCTTGATGGCGGACATTCTTGTGGGCTGTCTTGCTCAGCGACAAAGGTCTTCTGAGTGCTTGGGGTCTTGATCCTCATCACTTTCCGACGCCTCTGTCAGCAGGTCGACTCCTTTCTCATGTGATGTGGATGAGGCTTGTTCTTCCGAGCTTCCTTCGTCACTATCTTCTTCATCATCTTCCTCTTTGGCTGGGATAGTGGGAGCCATCATGATGCCCAAGTCGCCCAGCTGCTCCATCCACTCTTGCACTTTCTGTTGTCTTTCATCTTATCCTTTTTTCACTATATAGAGTCTTCACTTTCCTCAATGTCCGTCTCCGTTTCCTCCTTGGCGAGAAAGGCATAGGACTGGGGCATGCCAAATCTTCCTCTTCTTCTCAGCTTCTTCACACTCCCAAAACCATCTCAACTTTTGGACCGCTTCTTCATCAAACTCAAGGAGCTCGATGCCTGGATGTCTTGCGGCAGTGAGTCGCATCTCTTTCTTCACCCCATGGAGCTCCATCATCTTGTCGTGGAAGTGAAAGACGGCGTTCCAATGGCTCACAACTCCTTCTCCTGCACCTCTTTCCAGGGGATGTCATAGGTCTTGAGAGCTTCGTGGAGGTGATCGTGCCGGCCAAACCAGGCTTTTGGGTCTGGATGAAGTGATCTTCATGGGCTTGCGGATGGATCTTGGCACTTTCATACCAGAACTCTGTCAGAATGGGGTGAGCTGGTCCATCCAAAGGCTGATTCAGCTCTTCCATGCTTTCGTCACCCTTCAGGAACTTGGTCTCGAATCACTGGCCTTGCATGTTCTTGGTCACTCGACCGCTTACTTGCTCCTTCAAAGGGCAACCTTTGTTCACCCACCTGTAGTGGGCTGCCTTCTCATCTTCTTTGACCCACACCCTGGCTTCTTCACTGACTCCTACCGGTGGATCATGACTGGTGCTTGCAACCATAGTGCCATGACGGCGTGAAAAATACACCACATGCTTCAAGTCGCAGAGGTGGCAACGAGCACAGCGTCCTTCGGCGTTGGCCGACCAGCGCAGGTTCTCGAAGGGATGAGAGCATTGGTACTGAGCCTCCGTTGGCCAGGCTCCCAATCGTCTGGACTCCATTGGTCTCTCAAATATTGGAAGAGATGCCTTCTCCTTGCTTCTCTTGGCCGCCGACCATGTAAGTGCAACAGCAATGCGAGCATCTAGAATCTAGATGTCTGCGAACAACGCCGCGACGATCAACACCAAGCATCCAAGCCAACTCCACAAGCGAACGTGCCAGTGCAACCGACTCTTCACAGTAACTGGGTAGCATCAACTGCGTTTGCAACTTCAAAGGCGCGTCAACACCACCCCACCCACCCGCTGCCGTCCTAGCGCCGCTAAACTTCTCCCCAGTGGCCCTGAAGGAAACCTCAAAAATGTGCAACGAAAGCGTATATGAAGCGTGTGCCCACTACACTGACGCTCAAAACGTTGACCAAGAAAGTGAAATGGAAGGGTGAACATGTTCGAAACATAGTCTTAGTACGTGCTTGGAACGTGTGGAAAGCAGGTTCTGTTTCTGGAATACATTTTCATTAGCCAAAATGCTATGCCATTTGGGCTCTAGCCTGCGATCTCAAAGTGTCTCCCCTCACTCTATTCCTGTGTTGCCATGTCTGCCTCCGGCTCTGGCATCTTTGACTGGGACCTCTTGGAGGCGGAGACCATCTTGGAAGGGGCTGGCCGCCGCTGACGCGTTGGCAGGCTCCTCCTCTGATCCTTCAGCGCTGGAAATGCAAGAGGACTCGCGCTATTATGTCAAGTGTGAGTTGCTTACTCAAGATGCCCTGCAGGCTAAGATGAAGGAGATGGATGCTTTCCCCGCCTGGGATGCAGACGCCGCTGGCTCTGAAACGGACTTGGGTGGGTGGGGCTCCGGCGGCTGTGACCTCGAACCTGCTGCGGCGGCGGCTCGGGGACCTTGAGCACTTCTACACCTGCGGAGGCTGCGGTGGATGAGGCACCCCCGCCCATGGACATCGACCCGGTGACCCCTCCGGCCTCGCCGGCCCTGGCGGAACCTCCTCTTCGCCCTCGGAAGCGTAAAAGTGCGGCTAGCCCAGGAGGGGCGACAGCCAGGTCGGCCTCCTCGGACCCCTGTTGGGACCTTGACCAGTTCATCAGATTGACGGTGACTGGTGGGTTAACAAAGTTGGCACCTATGGCGTGCGTTGTGCCCAGCTTTTACTAAGACCCTCCTGGGACCCATCAATACTTGGCTGGGATTTGTTATCCAACCCGTCCAAATGGCCAAGGAGAAACACAACAAGGTCTTGGAGATCCTCCACCGCATTGCCAACAGGGCGGTCTTCACACCCAAGGACTTGGACAGTGTTGTGGGTAGGTTGCAATGGGCTACTTCCACCTGCCCTCTGGCCAAACCATTGCTCCAACCACTGTGCCAATGGAAGGGCGCCGTCAAATCGAGTGCGCCCCCCACACCGAAGGTGATCGCACTTTACACAGGCAAATCAATGCGGCGCTGGCAAGCCAATTGGACACCAACAAAAACGAAAGATGACATCGGGAACATCGGGATGTGGCCTGATTTTCATGCCTTGAACTGTCCGTTGATTGCCCTTGAGTATGCTTCCTAGCCGGTGGTGCTGCCCCCTTCAAAGGGCCAGAAGCGAAGGTGTTGCAGTGGTTGCCATTAGTCACAAAGGGGTTTGATGATCCCATTCCAAGAAGTCCGAGCAGTGTTCCAGCAAAGTTGCACTACCTTGCCAGAACTGCTTGAAGTGGAGTAGTTGACATTGTTAAATCAGTTTTCCTTCAAAACTATTCGTTGAACCTGATTTCCTGCATGCGAGGGTTAATGGCGCCGATTACTGTCTTGAAGAACCCGAGCTCTTTGTGTCCCTGCTAGACCGTGAATGCAGAACAAACAGATCCCTTTTCCAACGGGAAAGCGCCGCTGGTAAGCCGGAATGTCGCATTGCAAAACACAAAGTCACAACAAGCCAGAGCTGCTGCAAAGCTCTCCCACAAATGATGTGTGTGTATATATATATTGACTGATATACATAATGGACACCCCACGTGAACTACCTACAGCTGTTTTCTGTGGGTTTGCCCACGCAAAAGGTTTTTTCACCTATGAGAAGTCAATGCCCCTCGTTAGCTGACAACTAATGCATCTTCTAAAAAGGTGCGAAACACTTGCTATTATTGGGGTTTTCAATAACACTGAAATCATGCTAAAAACCACCTGTTTTTAGCGATTTTTGACAAACAAAAAAAAACAAAAAAGAAGAACGGAAAATCTGTCTTCCTGTTTTTGCGTCATCACGTCTACGCTGTTCATTTTTGCAATTATTTTTAAGTGTGCATTCCCCCTTTAATTTCCTTACTAATTATTGATGTCCTTTTACAATCATTTTGACTCCTATTGATTCCCTTTTCAAACCTTTTGAATTCTCATGATTTTCTTTTACATTCTGTTTGATTCCAATAGATTTTCTTTAAGTTCCTTTTGATTCCTCTCGATTTCCTTTTGAATTCCTTAATCAGTTTCGAATTGAATCACTTGTTATATCATATCAAATTACGGCAAAAAACTATTCCACAAAGGGGTTGGCCCAGCACACTAGAGATCTTGAATAATATAACCCCCTACGATAATGTCTACCTACTTTGTTTGGCCTTAATAATAAACATCCCCTCCAATCATGTCTACGCGGTTCATTATTCGTTATCTTTATGCGTGCATTTCCATTGTTTAATTCCTTGTGGTTCTTATTGATGACCTATTGAATTCTTTTTGTTTTTTGTTGATATCTTTTGAACTCCTTTTGATTACCTGCTAAACTCTTTGGTTAATGTCTTTTTGACTCCCTTCTCAAATCTTATCAGCATATTGCAAACATCTATTCCACAAAGGGGGTGGCCCAGTACAGAAAAGCAGCTGACAAGCAGGAAAGGGTAGAAGAGCTGAGAAGTATGAAACGTGCTGAAAGCAGGAAAAGGTAGAAGGCAAAGGTATACAGATCATGAGGAGTGTGTCAGTATTTTTACATAATATGGTTCCTGTGCCTCAGTTTTTTCCATTAGTGACAGAGAACGTTCTGGAGCGCATCCGGAGTATTTTTCCACAGATAGCAAGAGCTATTGGGGCTCTTACTTCAAGCATAGGAAGAGGTGCTTGTGCACTTTGGAGCCTGGACTTTGGTGCCGCTACAGAGTGCTGCTGCCAGATGCGTATGGCCGTGTGCGCTTTGGCAGGGTGGCGCTGCAGGGCCGCTGCAGGGTGCGCTGCTCCAGGATGTCTATGGCCGTGTGCACATTGGAGCTTGGGTGCTGGTGCCGCCGGATGGTGCTGCCAGATGTCTATGAGGCAGTGTGCGCTTTGGAGCCTGGTGCCGGCTGACATAACTAGTTGCAATAATTTTTGTTTACCTCCCCTTGCCTTCGAAAAACCCAGGTCATTCAGGTGAACAAATTGGACGCGGGGTGCGCGGAGGATGTTGCGTCAATGGCTGAAGCGTGCCGACCTCAAACTAGCGGAGGGCTGTGTTTCTGTGGCCTGGCTTTAGCTTGTGGCTTGTGCTCCAAGGTTGGGGCCGGCGAGTGTTGACTTGCTGGTCCATGCGGCTAGGAGCTGAAGTTTGACACATTTGATGTGGCAAGGGGTTGAAGAGTGCAGACCCAAGTCACCGAGGCGGGTGTGTTGGATCGTTGCCCACTAGCTGAACTCACAGCAGACAGGCGGGGACGCAAAAGAGATACGTTCACAGTCGAGACGGGCCCTCCTCCTGTCCTATGAAGCTGAGGCTTTCGGTGACAACGAGGCCAAAAGCAAATGCCGTGCGGAAGCCGAGGAGCTCAAAACCATTCTGTGTGTTCTCAGTTTTTTTGTCCTCTCTCTCTCTGTCTATCTCTATCTTTGTTTCCTCTCAGGTTGTTGTCTTGGAACTGCTGCTCTTTCACTGAGGCCTGGTATCTACACCAGGCTTTCCATGGGCTGAAAGGCTCGGTCCTTTTCTCCTCTGCCAGATCCTCAAGCAAAAGCCTGGGTGAAGTCTCATGTTCGGATTTGGATAAAAGATGTCTCAAAGGTCTCCGCTTTCCTGGGTCTGTCCGGTGGAGCGGCTTATGTGGAGGGCTCAGTCGTGCCACACAGGTATCAGTCTCTTCTGAGTCCATGACCAACTAACCGACGGCTCCAACCCAGTCAGCCAGCGTCCAGCTTAGCTTGCCCAACCATATCCTATGAACATGTGAGCAACGGCTTTTATTTGCGGTAGTCAAGATTAGTGGAAGGGGCGTTCCTTTTCTATAGCCCAATGTCAGATTTAGTTAGCGAAACGAGGTAGGAACACCCCGAGAACGAGATTGGCATCAATTGCGCCATTTGTTTGAAATGGCTTAGTTAATGATATGTTTAGCTGGTGAAACGAGGTAAGAACACCTCTCGAGAACGAGATGGGTATACATTGCACAAAACAGATACAGGAATGGAGAACGAGATTACACCCCAAAAACGATGCGAGATTGGAGAACGAGGTAAGGAAGGCCCATGTGATAACTCAACGGAAATATTTTCCATCGCTCATGTGCTTAGTTCAGTCTTTCCCATGAATTCAACGACTTCAAGTACCAACCACCTCAACCCTCCCATCACTTACGCAGCAGTAGCAGCCTCATGAACAGCAGCACGAGCAACAGCTGTAGGAGCAGCGACAGCGTCAGAAGCAGGAGGACTAGAGCCCATGGGAACTTGAACGCACAACCCGTTACTCTGACAAACCAGAAGTGAAACCAGATTTGCAGATTTACATGAAATTAAAGTACACTTGTCAATTGATTTTCGTGCGACCCTTTGGCGAAGCGAACGATTGAAAAAAACGAAGACCATCCTGGGGGTCCTACTTATATGTCTCACCTAGTCCACACAAGGAATGCTTCAAACTTCAAACCAGCAAATGCTTTCAAGAGTCAACACCTTCTAGTGTTTTGAGGCACAAAAAGCATGGCAGTGTGTGCAAGAATGGCTATGTTAAGTTGGCTTTTGATGTTAATGGATATCAACACCTCTGGCTCTTGATGTTAATGGACATCAACAGCTGTGCAGTAGTGAAAGATGAACAGGTGGGGGCTTTTTGCTCTCGCTTTCATGGTGTTGCCTTGCATGTGGGACTTTTGCAAGCGTTTTGCCTCAGGTTCCTCTTTGAAGCCTAGCTAACAAAAGAATTTCAGGGCATCATTTGGCCCCAATCCAGTCTAAACACATTCTTTTGTGGCCATATTCCAAGCCGATCTACTGGAGTACGATCTCACCCACCATTAACAGCCAGAACTTGCGGTCGGTGGCCCAGTGTTCACGCCTGCCTGGCATGCTGTATTGCTATATTCTAAGCGCATGGAAGCCTGTGGGAGGTGTCCAGTTTTTGGGTCTCACATCTTTTCTAGCAGCTTCTTGTTAGCGATGGCCTCCACCTATGTTAGCTAGTATTAATATATATATATATACTGCGAGCTTGTATGTATTGTAGGTTTGTAGGGTGTGTGCTGTGGTTGAGACGGTACTCCAGTAGACCGCAGCGACCTTTGAGCGCTGCGATCCCAAGATCAACACCAATATTTCATAGCAGGTCTTCTGCACACAGCCATTTGCTAATTGCACTGAGTGTATTTTAATACAAAACATAAACAAACAAGGTTCCAAGTGCAAGACATCGCATTCTTCCAAGCGCAAATTGAATCAACCGAGTATGTTCCAGTCCCCTTTGCCACTGAGCAATAAAGAAATGCAGGGTCTATTCTCCTTGTGGACATTCTTCCAGTCAATACCCCCACGAACTAGATTGTGTGGCGCAAACCCACCCTCGAACGCTACTGCTATCAACTGGCCTAGTCTCCACAGCATGACTCCTCAATCACGTGCATGTCCACGCCCCGCTACCAGTGCAAGATCTTTGGATACACAGGCAACGGCAACACTAACAGTGCCACCTTGAAGCGCAAGCGCCTCTTTGCATGCAAGAAAACCCCGTAGCGCTGCCAATCCTGAGTGCATTTAGTCCCACAGAGCTAGAAACAACAAGTGTTCGCCTGTTGCTTTTCCCAACCCATAGTAGGACTGTGAGGTCCGTGAGACCTCGTATTTCAGCCTTTTCATCCACCCCATCCCCGGCTAGCCCACCCTGCATGATCCCAATGTTGCCCACCAGTCATCTCACATTAACCCAGCCAAGTCGTCTCAGAGCAGCCCACCAGTACCCTCAGTGATAGAATAGCTGAATAACCTGAACAGCCCACCCGGAGTGATCTCAGAGTCCAGAGGGCGCAATTCTTTTCTACACTAACTTTTGTCGATGGCTTGGCGACGTGCCCCATTGTTCTTGCCTCCTTCTTCCCCGAACCATGATTTTTCTTCAATTTTTGCTGATCAACCCCAATGGTGGGGTCCTTCAATGCAAAGTATTTTCTTCCGTTGAAGTCTGTGCGAGTGGCTGAGGCTGCGGCCAATGGATACTTGGATTCTTTTGCTGTTTGGAGGCAACAGGGGTCGGTTCCTCAGACGCCAGTGAACCAAGTAGGATGCGAGGCTTCAGAGAGAAAGTAGGGAATGGTGAGATTCAGCACGGGTAGGTGGCTTGCGCATGATATATATGCCTCAACCCTCAAGCAACCGTTCTGAGGACGTTTAGTTTGCGCTTGGGACCTGTCGCAGAAGTTGGCATGTCTGCAGTCTGACACTGAGAGCAAGAAAGACGTAGCGATACAAGCAGCAATTCCTGTTTGAGAATCAAGAGCCAGCCAGGTTATGTTTGGAAGTTGGGTGCATGCGAGAGAACGCAAGTACAAGCCAGAACCTTCCCGAGATTATATAGATGCGTCCAAAGTCCTGTGCTCGAGGCCAGTGCCGACGCGATGAAGGCCATGCCACTCAAAGCTCTCTCATTGGCGCAGGCCGGCAAAGTGCGGTTTTGAGGACTCTTTTTCAAACCTGTTGGGTGGTACGCCAAGAAGATTACTTGGTAGTAGCATTGAAGCTACTCATGGAATGGAAGCTGATCCTTGCAAATGCGCAGAAGAGCGAGGGTTCTTCAAGGAGGCTCCTGTTGCACCCCAAAGTTCAAAGGCAAGGCAGAAACGGCTACTGTCTGAATCGGTTCTGAGATTTTGAAGGAAGTGTAAGAACGCTACTAGGGGCTCCTGGCCGTACTACCAGGAACAAGGATGCTACTAGTAAAGATTGTCACATGGGAGATTTGCCTGAGGTGTCAAGCGCGCTGAGAGTGATCTTGGCGCCTCCGCTTGGGAAGATTGGTCTTTCGGAGCTGACACTGGCAAAGGCTGATTGGGCTATGTATTTCAAGGATTCCTCCGGCTTGGTGGAAAGCTCAGGCAAACCTAGCCAGATCCAAAACACAACAAGCCTGCACTGCTGAGGCCCCAGCTTTGAAAGATTTCCAGGACCGATGTCATTGAACTTATCAAACATTGACATCCTTTTGGAGCGAGGACTCGCCAAGTCAACACGAACACGTTCTCATGCCGCTGCCTCCCACTGTTTGTTACCCCACCTGAAACCAGCAACCAGTAAATAGAGAAGTTATATATTTCCCTCAAGACACGTCCTGATTTAGGAGCAGAATCCAACCTGAGTGATTGCCTTTCGAAGCCCGTGCATTTTTAGCATTTCGCCAACCCATTGTCAAAGAAAGTGCAAAAAAGCAAATTGGCACTTTTGCTTCTTACCTCAATCACTGGTTCTCTTTGCTTCTCTTGGTCATTCTACTCGTGTAGCGAGTACACAAAGCAGACTGCCTGTCTTTATCAAATGCCCTAACCAACCTCTTTGACAATTGCTGAAGCACAAGCCTTCGCGAAATGACTCCACGCCCACCAAAGCCTCTCCCCATTCAACCGAACATCCCTCAGCATGTGGGTCGTGGCCCTATTTAGACATGGTTCATTTTCGAGAAGCCAGCAAAGTGCCTGAAGAGTCTTGCATGCTAGTCCAGTCGGATTGATCCCTCCTTTGAACGGTCAGTTCAGTGTGGGGTACCGTTGCCTCGTTCCATTCCTGCTTCTAGCTGTTTTGCAACCTTTACCTTGATTCTTTGCTCCGGACTGTTTGTTTCAAAATGCTCAAGTTCATGCAGTACTCTTTAGCCCTGGTATTCTATAGTCTTTCGTCGGCGCTCTAGGCTTCACATGGCTTGCACGCCTTTAGATTGCAGTATTTTGCGATCTTTTTCCAACCATTGTCTTATCTCGGAGGGCCGGGGGGGAACAATTCCGTTCATTTGTTTGGTAGCATAGAGCTGTCGAAGGAAGAGATCATGTTCCTTTCGTTGACATTCTATCGAGGGTGGGGGAGGTTGAATAGAATATGGATGAAACGCAACTTTCTTGCCTGAATATATTTATGTACTTTGCATTTCATAGTTTCATGTGTCTTTTTTTGCCAGGAGTTTGAGAACATCTCAAGAACCGTTGAAGCACGGCGGAGTTCTCCATTCGCATCCCTCTCCCAAGAAGACCGAGAAATGCACGTGCTCAAAGTCATCCGCGATGCAGCAAAGTCCATGCACATGGACATCCAGGATGATACCCCTCTTATGGAGGCCTGGGACTGAGATAATTTTGCTAGTTTTTGCACATGTTCCTGCTTGTTGTAGAGTGTTTGGACCAGATGTTGAATCAAGTGTTGCAATATATATTTATACATACATAGATGAATGCCAGATGTCAGACAGATTGGAGCGTTTTGTCATGTCGTCAAGGCAGGTATCGATTCCTTGTCTGCCGTGGAGTTCCGGGGCAAGATCGCCAATGAGTTCCGATCTGTTAGACTACCGAGCACTTTGATGTTTGATCATCCGACCTTGAAGGCAACTGCCGTTTACATTGCCGGGGCATTGGCAGAAGAACATCATACACAATCAGGGCAGCGGACGGAACTTGCCAAGTTGCCAGTGACAGACGAAGTGCCAATTCGAGGAGGAGTGTATGTCAGAGGAGCAGCATGTAATTTGCCAAGTTGTCAATTCTTGGATTTTTCCTGTAGCTTGTGGCAAGGCACTGATGCAGTGAGTGAAATGCCATACAGCCGATGGGACACCGACGAATATTATGATCCAGCTGTGCCTACAGGGCTTGAGATGTATGTCTGCCATGCTGCCTTCATAGCAAACGTGGAGTTGTTCGATGCACAGCTTTTTGGAATTTCCAAGGCTGAAGCAGATGCCATGGACCCACAGCAGCGACATTTGCTGGAAACCTCTTTTGCAGCTTTCACTGATGCTGGACTTCCTAAGGCCACGTTGATGGGCAAACCTGGTGGAGTTTTTGTTGGACAAGATAAGTGCGATTGGAATCGCATGATTTCAGCTGCTCATGCTGGTCCTTTTGCTGCAACAGGAGGCTCAGCATCAATTTCGGCCAACCGCATTTCATACAGTCTTGGTTTGAAAGGCCCCAGTGCCACAATGGACACTGCCTGTAGTTCATCGTTGGTGGCAGCTGACACAGCAGCAGTGAATCTCAGAAGAGGCAGATGCGAATTTGCGGCGGTTTGTGGTGTGAACATGCTGCTGTTGCCACAGACCTTCATCGGTTGTTGTCAAGCTCGAATGCTCTCCTTCGATGGACGGTGCCATACGTTTGACTCTTCGGCCTGTGGCTATGCGCGAGGTGAAGGCACTGGTGCTCAGGTGCTTCAGCAAGTGGCCAATCAAGTCTCGGAGGCCTCTTTGGCTTCCTTCTTGGGTAGTGCCCTGAACCAGGATGGTCGTAGCGCAAACTTGACGTCACCAAACGGACCTTCTCAAGAGGTGGTGGTTCGTATTGCACTTCAGGAGGCGGGATGTGATGCAGGAGACCTTTTTCAAGTCGAGACGCATGGCACTGGAACTGAACTGGGAGATCCAATTGAGACGGGAGCATTGCGTTCTGTACTGGCAGCACGCTCTTCTCCACTTTGTTTGGGAGCTGTGAAGACGAATGTTGGACATTTGGAAGGTGCAGCTGGGATGGCCGGCCTTTCGAAGCTTGCTGGGAGCTCAGAGCTCCAATAAATGGAGACAGTTGCCAGTTACACAAACAACCAAGAGGATGGTTTTTTGAGAATTTGGAAGCAACGGATTTTGCCTTGTTCTCCATACTGTTTTCTGCTGTCAGTCAGACCACTGGCGCCTCCGTCTAAGGTCTCGCAGTTATCAAAGTTGACCTTTGGTAGTGCCCCCAACCTGCACCTCCGACAGCTCAACCAGCACATTTCTGAGGACACTTTTGAAGCGCATGTTGTGTTGCTGTGTCAAGTACTAGTGCCAGGGCAGCTTTGAGCTTTCTTACTTTTCTTTGGAGAAGCACAGCCTACCCCTTGCTAGAACTTCGGTACTTACTATACTATATACAATATATTGTCCATTGTTCTATTTGAGTGTATTTGAGTGTTCATTTTGTCGAGGAAGTGTGTGACAGACACATTGAACCTACTAAAATCTACTAAAGCCAATTTTGGCCGCGATGTTCTCTACAAAGTGCATTTCCACAACCTTCGGAATCCTCTGTCCACAAGTCCAAAACTCCAATATCGATCCACCTCCGTTTACATAATGCATGCTCACCATCTTCCCTCTGCAAAATGGTCTTTGAGCATCATGTGTTTTCCGCACGTTTTGTCTTTGTCATTCTGCCTTGATGATTGGTTATTTAAAGGCTTACGCCTAACAGCCGGGCGCCGGCCCACTTGGGTCTGTGGGGCGTATGCCTATGTTGGCCTTGGTGGGGCCTATATTGAGCAAAGTTAAGCTATTTGGTGCGCATCTTGGCCCTAGGTTGGGCCAAGTGGGGCCCATGTGGTTTGTGTTGGGCACATCTTGGGCCCATGTTGAGCCTATGTTGGCCTACGTGAGGCCTATTTGGGTCCGCCCGTTTTGGGACCGAGGGTCGGCGGCAGGGGGCGCGCCCGTATATCCGGCCAGGGGCCCACGGGCCCCGCCATGGCTGTGTCTTTGACGTAGGCAGTCTCTCTTCTCCAAAGGAGAGAGGGCTGACCGCCCCTTGCCGCGACCCCTGTGGAACTGTGTGTTTTACAGTGTTTTTTGCTTCTTCAATTTTTCCGGGTTTGTGGGTCCAGATGGGTCAACATGGCCCAACATAGGCCCTAATAATGCTGGAAATGCATGCCGCACCGGGGTGCTTCGTCTGCATCGTGGGTGGCTGCTGGGCTAACAACAACAACAACAACCACCACAACAACAACAACTTCTTCTTCTTCTCACGCACTCGAAGGGAGTAGCGCCGCCCATCAGTCAGCATTGTGACTGGACTCCATGTAGGAGTTCGTTTGTGGTTGGAGAGGAGCAATCTGCTTCTATGGCAGCAAATCACCAAATCAAAATAAAATCGTCTAAAGGCAAACATCGTCTCAGACCCAAAATCAATCCAGGGGTCCCGGTTGAGGTCGAGACAAGAGGTTCAAATTTCAAGTGCACATGAACGACACACTTTTCGGGTGTGCCGGACAGCTACCCTCCCTCAGAGCGAAGCTCAGCGGTCGCTACGTCAGCATCCGCCACAGACGGCCGCCATCCACAGCGGCCAGTGCACCGGCTGTCAGCGGCTCGCTTCCGACACGTCGAACCCGGTGTCCGCAAGGACTTGGTCGATGGTCCGGTCCGCGTCTTGCAGGCGCAGGAGCAATGAATTTAAAGCCAAGTTGCTAGAAGGATCCGATCCTCCAGAGACCCTGGAGGTCATGCGATGGTCTTCCCAAGGTGCTTCGCTCAGCTCACGGTTTCCAGCCAAGGCACGATTGGATGCATCGTCAAACAGGGGCAGTCCTGGTGTGAAGCCGGACAGCTGTCCTGAGTCGTCCAGCGGCATAGATGCGTCCTGGGTGAGACAGGATGGATCTGCAAGCTTCCAAGTGTCCAGCGGCTCTAAATCCTGTGAGCAGGCCACAGGAAAGGAAGGTGGCGACCTCACTTCAGCATTGCCTAGCGGTCCCAAATTGGTCTGATCCCGATCAGACATCTCCAGCATGGGATCTTCCTCATCCGAGTCTCCCATAAGGCATGAGTTGGCCCAGAAAAGAACTCCACGTGTTCGAAAGGGCGCGGGATGGAACTCACCTGAACTGGTGCCTGGTTGTCGTCACATAGCAGGAACCGTCCATTCTGGTCCCTGAGCAAGGCTTGAAAATGACCGCTCAAGGAATCGCCCAGGTGTGCAACTGCTGCAGTGACACGATATGGAACCCATTTCAATTCCAGTCCTTCATTCACGAAGAAGGGCAGGTAAAAGTCCTCTTCAAACTGCACGTCGTTGAAATGACCTAACAGGCGAGCGCTGTCAATCAAACGGTCGAGGAAGAAGACTTTAGGGCCGATGGGTCCCGTGAAGGCCGTCACCATGGAGTGACAGTGCAACCAGGGTGACAGAAGTTCTGCAAGGGACACCTTTTCTCGATCTAGCTCATAGAGGTGCACTAAGGCCACCGGTTGGGATTCACTCCCGGCTTCAAAACAAGTGATGCCATCCTTGGTCTCAAGGCGGCGTTCCCATGCTTGTGAGGTCTGTGCGGATTTGCCCCACAAAAGGATGTCACTTGTGAACTCACCAATGTCCCTCTGTTCCCCTGAGGGCTTCCCCAGAAAAAGGTCAGCGAGCTGCGGCAAGCTGAACAAAGCTGTTGGCTCATCTGTCTTCACAGATGCAAGCATCCCCTGTACAGCATTCCATGCTGCACTTGAAGTGTACTCATCAAAATGGGGAGTGCACAAGGGTCCAGATCATGGAGATCAAGCCGGCATTGAGATAGCACCAATTGGCATCATTTTTGCATTGCAGGATCCGGATGGTGTCAATCCAGTGGAGCTTCAGCGCCTGTCCCCTCGTGGTCGAAGGATCTGCTGAAGGTCCTGAGCCAGCTGCGAACGTTGGGGTCCATGTTGGCGCATCCTGGCGCCCACCAGATTCCACAGGGACGAGCCGAGAAGGCTTGCTAAGGAGTCGTTCCTCAGGGAGATCTGGAGTCTCCATGGGATGACTTCCCCCCTGCTGTTTTGGGCCGCCATGGCGAAGAATCTGATGCAATTGCCCGGTTCCTAAAAAGCTTGCTGAAGAAGGCCGAGGTGGGACTCCATGGTGTTCCAGGCAATTGGAGCGGTCTGCATAATCTCCAGGCTTTGATGTTTGGAGCTCCAGGTCAGGTGTGGGAAGCTGTGATCCTCCATGACCGTCTTGCTTTGGATGGCAGCCTTCTTGGTGGAGTCGTCCTGCAACTGTGTCTTGAGCTTCTGAAAGCGAGTGACCAGTTCGGCAACGACGGCTTGAATGAGAAAGCTGCGTAGAGGCATCATCACTTGGTCTTGAGGAAGGTTTCGCCATTGTCCTGCGGATCTCATCTTCGTCCCTGGTCGAGGACGTCGAGCTGTTCGTCCTTGGGGATGATGCTAAGCTGGCTCTCCGTCGAGATGGCAGCAGAGGCGTGGTCTCCTTCCTTTTCCTCTTTTCCTGCGGGAGTTCCAGATCCAGGTCGTCCGGTGACGCGAGCATATTTAAGAATGCCCTGCCCACCTGTGTCACACGGTCGCCGTCTTGGATTTGCATCATTTCATCCATCATGAAGATCTGGTCGAAGCCAAGCAACAGCACAACCAAGGTTCAGGAGAGAGGAACACTGATGTTCCAATCTAGACCAAGCACTCTCATCCAGGAGACTGTAGTTCTTGGCAGTGTTGCCACACCATGAACAAGGCAGGGTATCAGCCAACGCCGGTCGTTGAGCCAAGAGATATCGAAGCATGGCATGAAGGAGAAACCCACAGCTGCTGCTATGAGTCTGATGAGTTTGAGTCAGGTGGTCCAACAACTGATCTGACTTCTCAAAGGTCCGAGAGCACAGGATGCACGAGTGGCTGAGTACCTGGCAGTGTCGCATCATGAAGGTCCATGAAGTTCGATCTGGATGCAGCAGCCATTGGCCCAGTTCAGGAACCTGTGCGTGGAGCAGGGTGTGAAGCTGAATCAATTGCTGAACCGAGGCCTCAGTGGGAGCCCATGGCAACATCAGTCTTCGATGATGAGGGTCACATAAGTGTTGGAGCATTGCCATCTGTCGATGGGCCGGACATCTGTGGGAGCGTGGTTGTGGAACGCGACAAGGATTGCAAACACATGAGAGGCGAGCTTCATCGATCATGTTGGAGGTGAGATCAGCCGCTCTGAAAAACCCTCCATGGTGACATTGCAAATATCTAATCAGGTCAGCTGTTCTGGCATAAGCTTGTCCACAGAACGAGCAAGTCATTGTGAGCTTGTGTCTCGTAGACGAATCTTCCGCCCATTTCCCGGCCTTGATCTGGTCCATGAAGATGTCATCCAGGCGGAGGACGGTGCCCGGCTCCTGATCACCCATGGGATCCAGGTGGTCACAGGATCCTCGATCAATGTGTCGTCGTAACTCCCATTGTTCCCCAAAGTGGCTGCGGCAGTGTCGGCATACGGTGGTGCCATGGACAGTGTCCCTGATGCAACAGAACCTGGAGTGATCTTCCCGTAAGTGGCGTTCAAGAGCAGTGTCAGAAGAGAAGATCTCTGCGCAGTGAACACAGAGATGATCAGCCAGGTCCTGGTCATCCTCAATTGGATATGCATGGGAAGCAGGAGCATCAGCCAGATGGCAAAGCCACTGATGGAGTACCGAGGCCTGCAGGAGGATCTTGCACTGATGAGAAGTCTTATAGTCATGTTGGCAAACATTGCATGGGGACCTCCGAGCGGTAGCCCATTTGGAGTAATGGTGTTGGCTTGCAAGGGCATAAGTGCAATGGTCCAGTTGAAGGTGATGCACCATGTCTGAAAACCTGGATTGATGTTTCCCACACAGGATACAATGGTTCATCATGTAAGCGCACACATCCGGAGTCTGTGCCAGTGCATCAAGACTGTGCTCCTGTCCCAGGTCCATGCCGACCTGAGCGGCGTCAAACATGGGGCAATTGCCGAATTCAACATGAGTTCGGAGATTAGTCCATGACTGGAAGGTCTTGTCACAGTGTCGGCACTGAGGATGTCCAGCTCGTGCGTCTCGATCCAACCTAAACTGAAAACATCTAGAACGGCCACGTGAATGAATTTGATGTTCATGTTTGGTGAGAAGGATTGCACTGTTGAATGTCTCGAGGCATGTGCGGCGCTGGAATGCAGGTCGAATGACGTCCACTCCGCGGGCCTGCGACGCAATCCAGTCATCCAATAAGGAAATCAACCGGTC